GAAGAAACTCAATTCCAAACAACAGTAAAGAGACTCTTCCAGTACTCAATACCTGGAATTATAAGGGACTTGGACTCAAAAAGAAGTGATGAATGTGGAAAACTTCATAAAAGAAGTGATTGGGTCTAGTGATTGATTATTTATGAAGGAAAGAGGTAAATTTTTTAAATGTTAGTAAGTTTCTGAGCATTCAAAAATAAAAGAGGAGTCTCACCCTTGACTGAGGAATGCTAGAATAAAATTAATTTTTCCAGATTTTAGAGTTGTTAATTTTAGGTGTGCTGAGACATAACACAGTGTCTGTGGAAAGCCACCAGGCAAGCATGTAAATGGATACTTCGTAGAAGTCGACAACCCTCTGGTTTTAGATTTGGAATCCTTCAAAGAGAGGCAAGATTTGAAATCATAACAGTAAAAAAAAAATTTAATAGGACAGAACATTTATATTGAGAAAATTGGAGTGTGAAAAGAGAACTTGCAGTGATGAGTTCATTTATGGATGAGAAATAAGAATAGAAGTTAGCAAAAGACAGAATAAAGGAGTAGGTTGGAGAACCCAGCTAACATAAAGGCATGGAAGCCAGAGAGAATGTGAAGAAACCAGGGTGTGATCACCTGTGTAAATGGCTTTAGAGATTAAGATGAATGAAAATGGCAGATGAGTTTAAGAAACAACAAGGAGAGTCTGGAATTATCAGTTGACGTTATAAAGTGTGACTATAAAGATTTGAGATTATAGTCATTACCTTACAATCTTACTCCATAATTTTCACACTTGAAAAAGCCCTTCCTATTGTATTTTTATCACCATCCACTCACCACCACTCAGAGGTTAGTCAAGAAATAAAGCATTTGTGTCTAAGAGTTCTATAATATTTTTAGATGTCTTGAGGACTTGGAAAGAAAATTATTTAATCTATGTGGGATAATACAGCTTTTATTAACTGTCTTTGAGACAGAATAATCAGACCACTGTTTTCCGTGACTTGAAAAAGAAAGGGTCAGTAATGTGGAAATTCTGTTAAAATTTTAAGCCTTTTTTTTAAGTGTTAAAAAGAGGAGATTGGTGTTTTTGAAAGTTGTCTCATCACCCATGTCATTTTCACTTCAGAACAATGTAAACTGCAAAGCAGGATATGTAGTATTAAGGCCAGGTACATTACATTTTCATCTGTCATAAAGGCAATGAAAGTCTTTGTACTTCTCTTTTATTCCCTCATCCAATTCCCTGTACAGTGTTTCCAATTTTCTTCTACAAACATAACCAGCCGCTTCTGCCTTACATTTCCTCTCACACCACTGCCTCCCCTAGATTAGTCACCCTCAGCTTCAGTCTTCTAGTCCTGTCCCTCTCCAGAAGGCTCTGCCTGAGTCCCACCTTGTGGGATAATGGCATTATTGTTAGTTTCTCTATGGTGGTTGGTGTTACTGACCATTGTGTCTTGGGAACTCTCATCTGTGGCTTCCACATCACCCTATACCCCTTTCACCCCCCCATACCCCCTCCTCTGTCTTTTTATTACTGTTTTTTGTATTGAGGTTTCATGTAAAATTTCATTTGAAAAAGGAAGTCATTTCTGCTGCTTAAAAATACACACATATGCACAATGAGAGGGAAGGATCAAAAACCATTGACTTCAGTTTCTCTTGTATGAGTGACACCAAGTCAGCACCTCTGATGTTTCATCTCAGAGCCAGACTGGGGCTTTCTTCTGCACACGGGACGTCTTGGCCTGGGTAGATGGCTCTCAGTATCACTTCAGACTCCACATCTGACATAAAATGTACTGTCTTTCTCCTGCCAAGCCAGTTCTCCCTCGTGGAGACCTGTTTGTCCAGTCATTGCTTTACTGCTCTCTAAACAAATGCAAGTTCAAAAGAAAAGAATTAGTGTTGTGTTTTCTCTTTTCTTCATTGTTAAAGTCATTGGTTTCTAAGACCTGTTGATTTTTCCTTAGATCATCGTTCATTTTTTTATCCCTTTCTTTCAAGTAACACAGCTTCCAGAAGGGCTGAGGTGTACAGTTCCTTACGCTTTGGACTGCTGTCTGAATCTCCAACCTCTCTGTCTCCAGGCACTTAGCCCTCCCTGTAGTTTACTTTGAAATCCTGAGTCCGATTTCAGTTTCTAAAAATCATATATTTTTTATCATTATCATCAACTCCTGAAGCGTTTCTTCCTTCCCAAGTTTAGCTGTGTTAAATGGGGATCATGCTGAACCCCAAACCTAACAATATGATTTTATTTAATGTCTTGAATGTGCTCGGGACTGTGCTAAGCACTTTATATGTATTATTGAATTTCCCAAACAATGCTATAAACTAGGGATTACTATTAACTCTGTCTCATCACTGGGGAAACAGATTAAGCTGCGTGTTCAAAGTCAGATAGCAAATAAATGGCAAAGTCAGGACTAGCATCCTGAATCATATGACTCAACAGGCCAAGTGCGGAAGCTGTCCGTCCCCCCCTCCCCTCTTTTTAATGGGGGAAAATGCATGTGAGCTATTGGGTAGGGACCACCCAAGGCAGCAGTCAAAGGAAGGGCACTGGCTTTGTTAACTGTTTTTAAAAGAGACTTAAGGTTCACATTCATAAAGCCAGTTATAAATCCATATATCATAACAGAACAGCCCTCTCACCTCTTTCTTTGTGTCTACCTCTAGGCTTCAAGCTGCCACTTTGTGATATATTTTCTTCTTCAAGATTGTCCCAGAGGTTGATCATAAACTGATTTCACCCCATCCAAAAATGTTTTAGACGCTGTTCTAAAATGATCCTAGTCTCTCTTCCTCACTTCCTATTGGCTCCTTCCCTTGCTTCTGAAGTCTAGGGCCAGCCTTCTCATCTACTATATAAAACCAACCCTTGCCTAGCCGTGCTGCTCCAGCTGTGTCTGAACATGCTTTACTTTGTTCACGGCAGTGATGCTGACAATGATGTTGGTAATAGAGGTAACTTATTAATTCGTTCACCAGATTGTAAGCTCATGTTTTTCTGTGTGCTCAGTCTTATCCCTGGGCCGTGGCATACTCCCTGACAGATAAGGAGGAAGAGTAGCTTGATGGTTGAGAGTCTGAGCTATAGAATCAAGCTGCTTGGATGCAGATTTTGAATTTAATTTAATTACTCCATGGGCTTGGACAAGACATTAAAGTTCTCTGTGCATTATTTTCCTTATTTATAAAATGCATATAGTGAAAAAAATGCATGTAGTTAAGTACTCACATCATACAATTTAAAGATTAAATGATACAAGATAGTAAAATCACTTAGAAAAGTTCCTGGCAAATGGTAAGTACTAAATAAATGTTGTTGTTAGCAGCCCTCAGTGAATATTTGCTGACGGCATATTGAGGGATCAGTCTGTATTAATATGCACTTTGCTGTGATTTTTACATATATATCGTTTACTCCTTAATATAACTCTGTGAGGGGGGCGCTACTATTACCCACATTTTGCAGGAAGAAAATTGAAACGTAGGTTGAGTGACTTACCTGCGGGCACATGGCTTAGAGGCGGTGTGCAGTCAGGATGTGAACGTGGTCTGTGTGACTTCAGAACCCAAGCTCCCTCCGCCTACCACTCCCAGAGGTGCTTTCCAGGCTTTCCTGCCTAAGCAAGTCATAGCACATTCCTTGACCTTATTGTACTGATTGCATCGAACTATTATTCAAACCATCCAAGTACCTGTGCCCTGCTTTCCATATTAAGAATACTTTCTTCAAGGGCAGAAACACTGACACCGAATTCTGCTGTGTACAGAGTTGTTGATCATTGAAATGACTGAATTGCTATCACTGTGTCTTGCAAGGTCATTGTAAAGGACTACTAATGGTATCCTCGTCAAATAAAACAAGGAAATTAATACTGGATAATGATGGTATTTCCCTGTTTATGATTTATTAATTGCCTAAAGTTGTACAGAGCATATAAAAACTGATCACTCATTTTCTCAGGGATTAAAAAAATAGCACGATGAACCTATATTTCCTTACACATGTAAGGTTTTCTTCATCCTTTTGGGCCAGAAGTTATGAATATTGACTCTGTGGGGTATTGAAATTGTCTTCGTGTATCTTTGCTTCCTTCTCCCACCTCATACATACTGTAGCATTTATTCATTCACCCAAATTTGGGCTCTAAGAGTAAAGAAGATAGATAAGGTCCTTGCTGTCATGGATCCTGTATTTTGGTGGGAAAAGACAGCCAAAAACAAGGAAACACAGAAAATCATTACAGACAGTATTCGCCTCTGGCCTCTAACAGTCTCCATGACGAGAGGGTTCCTGGTGATCAGGGAGGGGAGCATCTGTGCTGGGTGGGCAGGCAGAGCCGTGGTCGGGAGTGCGCTACAAAGGGCCCAGGCACACATCTTTGGAAAAGGGCGCACACACATGTTTCTTATGTTCATTTAGTCCCTGGGTTAACCGGCTCATGCTTGGAGCAACATATGGCTTTGACTTTGTTGTTTAGCCACCTAGGTTCAAAGAGACTGTCAACAATAATGCTCTTCCTTTGGCAAAAGTAATAGCATCAAGCCATTTTCACAGGTGCTGTGGTTCTTTCTTCCTCTTTTTCTGCTTCCCAAGATGCAATGGGGCCTAGAATCAAAACAGCAGTAGGTTTTCTGTATACCTGTAAAAGATTAGCTTAAGTCATCAGGGATGATGCAAGCCAGGAAAAAAAAGGGGGGGGCAAGAAAACAGAGATGAAGCCAAAAAGGACAATTTCTGATTGTAATAGCTGGTTTCTGTTTCCTATCACCAAGCAAAAGAAGGTCTTGCAGGGTTTTAAAGGAGCAGCATCCATGGGACAGAAGAATGACCTCACCCTCGGTGCCCCTGCCAGGTGCCTCACCCCACTGTGAAAACAGGGAGTTGATTTCCAGCGTGAAACAAGCCAGAAGTATAGAATGACATTTTCAGGTGACAGCTGCGGTTCTATTGCCTGTAATTAGCACCTCTTAACCCGCAAACCTGCCTGTGCCTTTTGCAGGCTGTCGAAGCTCAAATCCGAAGTTTTGGGCAGACACCTTCTCAACTCCTGATAGAGCCACATCCTCCCCGAGGGTCAGCCATGCAAGCGGTAAGTGCCACCTTCACTCCCCTCATCCCCTACAGCACTCTGAAACTATGCTTGACGTTCGTAAGTCTTCCATTGTGCTTGAGATTCTCCACCACACCTGGGCCTGTTCCTCGTATGCACTGTTTGTGAGCCTGCTAACAGCCAGCAGACAGCACATGCTGGCCTGGAACCTTCGGGAAGGCAGCTGCTGCTCCAGGGCTCTAGCATGTCATCGGGTCATGCTCTGTGTTGCAGAAATAAAAGGTCCATAATGGTCACATATCCTCACTGGAGGATAAAGACTCAGCACGTGAGATTGATAAGTTTTCTGGTTTGCTCCTATGAGTGTCTAGCTGCTGCTGCTTCTTTTTTTTTTCTTTTTAATTGTTTTTATTCTTGACATCCTAATGTTTTTCAGTTTGGGAGTTTTGAAAGTCAGCCTAATACATAGGATATTGTTACTGAGACTCAGGGACCTTGGAGGAAAAACTGATGGTGTGATAGCCCGGATACCCAAAGCCTGCCTCTCTTTCCATGTGGTCTTCCATCATCAAGGAAGTTAGCCAAGGCCACTCCCACAGTAAGAGTAGTGTCCCAAGAGAACATTTCCACAAGACGTCTCAAAGCTTCCTTTTGAACTCGCACGACGTCATTTATGCCACATTCTACTGGTCAAGGAAAGTCAGAGGCCAGAATCAGGAGAAGGGAAATAGGCTCCAGCTGTAATGTGCTGTTCTTCTGTGGTTCTTGAAATTTCAGCAGGGATATTCC